ACCCATAGGTCAAAGAGAGAGTCTTAAGGAAATCAGAAAATATTATAAACAACAACAACAAAAATCATAACATCAAAATTTGTGGGATGCACCTTAAATAATGTTTAATGGAAATTTTTATTAAATGCAAATGTTAGAAAAAGAGCTGTGTCTCAATCAATGCTTCTACCATGAGAAACTAGAAAAAGAAATGGAAAATAAACTTAAAGTAAACAAAATGAAATGATAAGAACATACATAATTGAATTTGAAAATAGAAAAAAATCATTGAAAGCAAAAGTTTACTTGAAAAGATCAGTGAAAGTAATAAAACTAGTCAGACTGACAGGAAGAAAGAGAAAGAAGACAGATTATCAATATCAACAAAAGGAGATGTCATAATAGACCTCATAAATGTTAAATAGATGAATAATGTCATGAAGTACTCTGTGTATAAATTTGATGAAGTTAGGATGAAGTGATTCCTTGAAAACCACAAACTATCAAACTTGCAAAAAATTAAATAGATAATCTAAATACTTCTATGTCCGTTAAAGGAATTTATGGGGCTGGGGATGTAGCTCAGTGGTAGAGCACTTGTCTAGCATGGAAGAGGACTAGATTCAATCCCCAGCACCACAAAAATAAAACAAAACAAAAAACACTTCAGAAAAAGATATTTTCAAGTCCAGATGATTTCACTGGTTAATTCTTCCCAATAGTTAGAGAAAACAATACCATCCATTTCTTTCAAGAAATATAAGGCAAGGCCATATAATCYGCCCTGTTTTGACATTACCATCACCCAAACAATAGAATACAAAAATAGAAAACTAGACTGCTATCTCTCAAAAATACAGGAGCAAGAATATTCCCAGAAGATTAAGAAATTTAACTCAGTAATAAAGGTTGAACATTCCTAATCCAAAAATCTGAAATCCATACACTCCAAAACACAAAACATTTTTGAGTGTCAACATGATGCCACAAGTGTAAGATTCCATGCCTGACCTCATGTTGGCAAGTCATGGTAAAAATGCAGGAACACTCAAAATATTGTATAAAATTACCTTTGTTCTAGATGTATGAGGTGTATATGAACCATAAATGAATTCTGTGTTTAGCCTTGGGTCCAGTCCCCAAGATATCTCTTTTTTTAAAAATCCAAAAACTTCAATTCCTGAGTCTTTACATGTTTATTTATTGTTTGTATTATGTTTAGTTGCCCATGGACCTTTATTTTATTTATTTATATACAGTGCTGCGAATTGAACCCAGTGCCTCACACATGCTAGGCAATCACTCTACTACTGAGTTACAGCCCCAGCCCCAAGTCTTTTAGATAAGGAATATTCAATTTGTATATAAAAAYAATAATATACCACAATCAATTGGTGTTTATCTTAGGAATACAAGGCCCATTAAATATTCAAAAATACAAATAATCCACTGTATTCATAATTTAAAAAAGAAAAATCAACTGATGCATAAGTAACATGACAAAATGTAATACCCAGACATGGTTTTAAAAATAAACTCAGGAAACTTGGAATAGAAGGGAAATTTTTCAACCTTTTTATGGAGGATCTACAAAAAAGAAAAAACTTACAGCTAAAATCATTCTTGATTACTTTATAGGAGGAAAGCCTTCAGTTTTTCTCTAATATTGGAAACTTGTAAAGATGCCCATTTTCACCATAAGACCAAGTCTAAGTCTTAGCCAATGCAGTAAGGCAAGAAAAAGAGATGAAAAACACATATCAAAAAAGAAGTGAAATGATACCAATTTGCAGACAAAATGCTTTTCTCATAGAATATCCCAAGGAATCTACAAAAAACTACAGTCAGTGAATTTGGCAAAGTCATAAGACATAAGTTTGATGCAGAATAATGTATCTATATATATATATATCAATAATATACAATTGAAAACTAAAAATTTCTTTTAATTACACTAGTTCTAAAATAAACTAAATACTAAAGTATAACTCTAACCAAACATGTATGAAACTATGCTGAAAACTATATATCATGTTTAGAGATTGAAAAACTCAACATAGTAAAGATGTCAACTGTCTTATGATTGATCAATGCACATATATACAATGGGGTTTTACTCAGCCATTAAAAAGAATGAAATTATGACATTTTCCAGTAAATGGATGGAAATGGAGAATATCATTCTAAGTGAAATTGGCCAAAGTCAAAAACTCAAAAGTTGAATTTTCTCTCTCATATGGAAGCTGGAGTAAAATAAAGGAAACAGGAGGGAAGGATAAGATTACATAAGGAACCAATCAAAWACAAATTAATAGATGAGTGAAAGGAAGTCTAGTAGAGGAAGGAAGGGGAGAGGGAAGGAAAACTAGGGGAACATCAACTGAAATCGATTTCCATGTGTATATTAATTTGTCAGGATGAACACAATATATACAATCCATAAAGCTCTAATAAAAAATGATATTTAATTAAAACTAATAAGGTAAAAATAAAAATTCTATGCAATCTTAACTGAAATTCCAGAAGGATTTTTTTGTTTTATTTTTTTATATGCAGGTGAGCTGATTTTAAAATTTATTTGGAAAGGCAATGGAACTATAATAAGTAAAAATTATTGAAAAAAGGAAATGATGTTGGAAGAATCACACACGATCTTAGGACTTTTTCTAAAATAGGTTTTGGAAGACATTTGCTGTAAAGAACCATATAGGTTTTGTAGGCCATAGGATCTCTGTTACAACTACTTAACTGACATTACAGTGAGAAAGAAGCCAGAGATAATACATAAATGAATGGTGGGGCTGGGGCTGGGGCTCAGCTGTAGAGTGATCACCTAGCATATGCACGGCCCTGGGTTCAATCCTCAGCACCACATAAAAATAAATAAATCAAAAAATATGAATGGGTATTCATGGGTTCTGATAAAACTTTATTTACAAAATAAGTATGAACTGGATTTGGACTGTCTACTATGGTTTGCCTCTCCCATCTAAAGCTACACTGGTCAAGAAATTGTGGTATTAGCAGAAGACAGATACATATATTAATGAAAAAGAACACAGAATTCAGAAATAGACTCAYATAATATCTCCAACAGATTTTTTTAAAAATATTTATTTATGTATGTATCTTTAGTTTAGGTGGATACATTAGTTTGTTTTTATGTGGTGCTGAGGATTGAACCYAGTGCCTTATGCATGCTGGACGAGCACTCTACCACTAAGCCACCACCCCAGCCCCTCCAACTGATTTTTGACAAATGTAAAAACACAATTTTTTAAAAAACTATTTTTTCAACAAATGGTATTGGAACAGGTGGACATCTTTGTGCAAAAAAGAAAGAATTGCAACCTAAACCTCATAACATACTCTCAAAAAATAAAAAGATAATTGGTCTAAATGTAAAATTGAAACTATCAACTTTTTAAAAAAAAATAGAAAGAAATATTTGTAATCCAGGATTCAGCAAAACATTCTCAGACCAGCTGCTAAAAGTACTACCCATTTTTTTTAATTGATAAACTGTACTTTAACACCTTTTATTCTTCAAAAGCCACTGTTAGAAAAATGACAAGCTGCATGCTGGGAGAAAATATGTACAAATCACATATCCAATGAAGGATGTGTATCCAGAACATATAAAGAACTTTCAAAGCTCAACAGTAAGAAAAATATCCCAATTAAAATGGGCAAAAGTCCTGAACAGACACTTCAGTTGGATATATGCAAAATTAAAACCATTAGGAGATACTCCTGCATACCTATTAGAATATCTGCAGTATGTGTGTGTGAAAATAATTATATATTTATCAGTATATATACATACGAACAAATACTGACAATTTCAAACACTGGGAAGGATGCAAAGTAACATGAACTTTCATACACATTGCTGGTGAGAATACAAAATGATACAGCTATTCTAGGAAACAGTTTAGCATATATTTGCCATATGATCTAGCAGCCTTGAGTATTCAGACTTGAGAAATTAATACTTACATTCACACAAGAACCTGTATGTGAATGTTTATAGTAGTTTTATTTATAATTTTCATAACCTGAGAAAATAAATATCCTTCAACAGATGAATAACTAAACTGGTATATAGCTATATAATGGAATACTCCTTAGCAATAAAAAGAAATGAATTGTTGATTTATACAACTTGGATGATATCAAGGGCCTTAAGAGAGAAAATGAAAATGCTCACATTTTGTATGATTCAAATCATATGACATTCTTGAACTCAAAACTAATAGAGAAAAGGTAAGTAGTTGTCGGGGTTATGGATAGGGAAAATGTGACTACAAAGTATGAGGGAGGTTTTTTGACATATCGAAACTGTTTCCTGTTTTGATTGTTCTGTTGTTAATAGTATGAATCCCAAGCATCTATTAAAATTCAAAGAATTATACACCTTTAAAGTGAATTTTAATGTATTATAATTTTATACATTTAAAAAWTATATGATTATATAAGTGAAAGTTGATGAGAAAATTTTATAAGGCAGAATTATCTATGGATTTTTTAAATCCATAGCAATTAGGAGAGAACTCCGGTTAATTAGATTGTTGTTATTATGTTAATTTTGGGTTTTCTACACTAATAATGGATTATTTTTGAAATCAGGAAAGTATGAAACTTTTACCACTCTCTTTAATTTCATAATACCCAGGAGTTCAGAGCATCACATTTTGTTTCCATGATTATTTCTCTTAAAAAACTATAATATGTAATATATTTATCTGTACATTAAAATTTAATTTCAGCACTCTTCAAAATGTTTTATAAAATATTTAATGGTGGAATACTTGAAAGTGACTTTCCATGTTTTTAAAATAATTATTTTAAAATTATTATGTTGTTGAAAGGTTCCAGAGATATTTTTAATTACACTTTAAAACATGTAGAAATTTGAAATGTTTAATACCTTACTTATATTAAATTTTATAGTATTATATCCACAACTTGCATCTAACCTTAAATTTTTCTTTCTTAATTACTTGACTCATGTACTACAGACAAGTAATTGACAGAAGGAATGGACCTGAAAAAGACATCTGTGCTGGATCTTTGATGACTTATACCTGTAATGCAGAAGGTAATATTATTCAAAATATAATGCCTCAAAAAGTTATAAATTATAAGAGCATTCTATAAATGAATTAGAATATGAAAATCCAAAGCATTTCAAAACTCAGTATTAAGACTGCTTTTGGTTAATTTAATATAAAATGCCGGGCTGGAGATGTGGCTCAGSGGTAGGGCGCTYGCCTGGCATGCTTGCGGCCCGGGTTCGATCCTCAGCACCACATACCAACAAAGATGTTGTGTCCGCCGAGAACTAAAAAATAAATATTAAAAATTCTCTCTCTCTCCTCTCTCACTCTCTCTTAAAAAAAATATATAAAATGCCAAGTCACTTGATTATAAATAAGGCTAAATTTTAATAAGCATACAAATTAATACAGATGCCTTTGGGAATCTTGTTAAAACATTGATTCTTATTCAGTAGATCTGGAGTGGGACCCATGACTCTGAATTTCTAAAAAGCTCTCAAAGTGATACATACTCAGCTAGTCTGGAGACTACAGTTTGAGTAGGCAAGCTCTGGAGATAACAAATAAAAATGGCATGATTCTTGCCCTGTTTAGTAGAAAATAAAGAAATATATATATACTATAATTCAAGACAGCTGTACTCCCTAACAGTGGTACCCTTCATACTCTCCCCTAAAGATAAATATAGCATGGCCCACTGTTTCTTTTACTTTCCCTTTAAGAAGAGGTTACTCTGCTGAACTATTATCTTAGTCCATGTTCTGTTGCTATAAACAGAATTCCTGAGACTAGGTAACAAGCAGAGGAAAGAAGTTTATTTAGTGCCCGGTTCTGGAGGACAGAGGTCAAGATCCAGCAGCTACATCTGAGGAGGGCCTCATGCTCAAGGGGCAGCCTTACTTGATAAAATCTGCTCTCATGGTAACTAATCCAGTCCCAAGAAAAAACTGCATGAATCCATCTTAACCTTTTAAAGACCCCACCACTGGGCTGGGATGTAGCTCAGTGGCAAAGTGTCTGCCTTGCATTCGCAAAGCCCTGGGTTCGACCCCCAGTTCCAAAAAAGACAAAAAAAAGAACCCCACCAAAAAAAATAAGATTAAAGACCCCACCACCTCTCAACACTATTATACTGGGCACCAAATTTCATTATGAGTTTCAGAAAAGATAAACCATATTCATTTTGAAATGCAAAATGTGGAAGAGAGAGATGATGAGGATAAGAGAAGCAAGTGGAATTAAGATGCTTGTATGGACTTCCTTCTGGAGAGTTTAGGAGGGAAATATATGAAAGCAACTTCAGCCTCTGTGAGAAGTAGATAGCAGAGAAAATGAATTTTAAGAAGTATCATATAGTGCCAGGCATAAAATGGCTACTCATATTTTTTTCCTTAAGTTGAGGTTTACCAACTGTATGTCAGAAAGCCTATATAACRTAGTCCTAACTATGACCTAAAATATTGTCACTTTAGCTTCTCAGAAGCTAATCCTCACCTATGAAATCAAATTTCAGTAGAATGATTCTCATATAGGGTAGGCAGGTAAATGAACATTTAAAACAATTCATTTCACATTGATGATTTTAAAACATGATATTTAGTAGGAATAATGGTATTTTCCCCCTTTTTGAGTTTCTATTTTTCCTTGAATTTTGAGGAAAAGATGGAGTTAATAGGCCAAGAGGTGACTACAATATAAACAGAATGTTTACTTCAAAAAGAAAAAAAAATGAAGAAGAAAAAGTATCAGGGAGGTCAATATAATTTCCTTCATGGTGTTTAAGACATGTAATTAAAAACCTCTGTTATTTCAAAACTAATTTTAGTTACTGAATTTTGTCTTTTTTCACAGAGATAATCATTGCATTAGACTAGGAGATCACAGGTTTAAATGCTGTATGAAGCTAATGATGCTAAGTTATAAAGAAGGTGATAGAAGATAAGGATTAAAATATGGGTCGTGGGCCAGAGTGTGAACAGGCTTTGGAGTAAGGCTGAAGAGTTTCTATTTATTTCAGTTGGTAGTGGTGTGGATTTGAATGTTAGGAAGCAGGTAAGTGAAATGATCAAAAGCATAAGAATATTAATCTGGTAGCCTTTCCCAAGTTGATTGAAATGAGAAAAATTAGATAGCAAGTTTATTATAATAAASTAGTAAAAGCCTTGAGTGAAAATGATAGTGGGAATAGGAAAGGATAAATTTGAGAGATATCATGATTAAAAAAAAAAATATGACTTGTTGAATTCCTTTATCCAACACACTTCAACAAATATTTATTGAACTCCTATTATATGCCAGAAACTATGTTGTGCAGTAGAAATAGAAAACATAAAGTTTCCTACAAGGTATTCATGGTAAAGAGCTGCTAGAAATGTAGTAAAATTCTTTGATGCATTCTCCACGCTGCCCATAAAGTGACCTTAACCTGTTTAGACCATTATAATCTGTCCATATCATCTCCATCCAGCCTTCTTTGGCACTACTCCACAATTCTTAACTGTTTCTACTTCCTCATCACCCAAAACATGTTAATATCAATATGATTAGATTTCCTCCATATCACCTCTAATAGCATTTGACATTGTTGATTATTTCTTTCTATAATATTCTCTTTGCCTTCTTTGTACTCTAACCCACTGAATCTTCTTGCCCTCTTTAGATCTTGATAGCCTTAATAATAACCATTTTGGAAATAGTAGACAGATAAAAGGAATTCTTTTAAGCCATCTAATATAGGTGAATAGATATCAAATCTTATCCTCTCTTTCTGCCCTATTATATGTGAGCTGCAACTCTTTTTTTTTWWTTTTT